TCTGTTCTCTGCATCCTCTGTCCTCGCTCACTCCAACTGCATGTCCTCTCTGATTGCATCCATATATGTTTTTCTGTTGGAGTCAGTCTCCCCACCATCACAGACATCTACACCTCTAGATGCAGGAAAAGGGTCACCTGCATCATGAAGGACCTCACTCACCCAGCACACACACTTTTTGCCCCGCTCCCCTCAGGAAGGAGGTTGAGGAGCATTAAGTGTAGAACCACTAGACTGAGGAACAGCTTCTGTTAGAAGGCTGTTAGACTCATGAATCTCTAACCAGAATAATCACTGTGAAAAATCATATCATGTTGCTGCTGATCTGTTTCAATGTTGCTGCTGATCTGTTCATGTTGCTGTGTTCATTTGTGCTCATCTGCTCACACAGACTCATTCGTGCTGCTTTTCGGCAGATTGTTTTTATGTTATAGTGCTTAGTGTATTTATAGTTAATGTTAGCATTAACAATCTTATTACTGTTTTTCTTTTACATGTTATTGTTTGATGTAACTGGGACCCTGTTTAAGCAATTTTGTTCCACCACATGTACCACATGTGGTGCAAATGACAAATAGAGAGACTCTGACTCTATATCTTCTCTTTGGCCTTCCTCTTTGTCTTTTGCTGGCAGATGCATTTCTAACATCTTTCTACCAATATGCCAACAGTTCCTCCTTTGGACATGGCCAAACAATCTCAGTCTGGCCTCTCCCAGGTGTTCAACCTGTGCTGTACCTCTGATGATCTCATTACTAATCTTATCCATCCTTGTAACTCCTGAGGAGAACTTCAACATCTTAATTTCTGCCACTTCCTGTTCTTTCTCATGTCTTTTTGTCAATGCCACTGTCTCCAGACCATACAACATGTAGTAGCTGGTCTCACCACTGTCTTGTATACTTTTCCTTTGACTTTTGCTGACACCCTTTTGTCACAAATCACTCCTGAAACTTTTCTCCATCCACTCTACCATGCCTGGACTCTCTTTTTCACCTCTTTATCACACTCCCCATTTTCCTGGACAGTGGACCCCAAGTACTTGAAGTCCTGCACCTTTGTGATCTCTGCTCCTTGAAGCCTCACTGTTCCACCAGCCTCCCTGTCATTCACACACATGTACTCTGTCTTACTACGGCTGACTTTCATTCCTCTTCTTTCAAGTGCATAATTGCACCTCTCCAAGTTCTCTTCCGCTTGTTTCCTGTTCTCACCACAGATCACAATGTCATCTGCAAACATCATAGTCCATGGGAATTCCTGCTTGACCTCATCAGTTAGTCGGTCCATCACCAGAGCAAACAAGAAGTGGCTCAGAGCTGATCCTTGATGCAATCCCACCTCCACCTTGAAGCTATATGTCACTCCTACAGCACATCTCACCACTGTCCTGCTGTCCTCATACATGTCCTGTACCGGTCTAATACTTCTCTGTCACTCCAGATTTTCTTGTGCAAAACCACACCTCTTCCCTAGTCACCCTGTCATATGCTTTTTCTAAATCCACATAGACACAATAGAGTTCTTTTTGACCCTCTCTGTACTTCTCCATCAGCATCATCAAAGAAAGATGGCATCTGTGGTGCTCTTTCTTGGCATGAAACCATACTGCTGCCCACAGATAGTCACCTCTTGTCTAAGTCTTGCTTCCACAAGATCTTTATCGTGTGGCTCATCAACTTAATTTCCTGTAGTTATTACAACTCTGTACATCACCCTTGTTCTTAAAAATGGGCACCAGCACACTTCTTCTCCATTCTTCAGGCATTTTCTCACCCTGAAATGTGCCGTTGAATATTTGGGTCAAAAAACTCACTGTCATCTCTTCAAGACATTTCCAAACCTCCACCTCCACTGACATCAATTTCTACTATCTTCCCCTTCTTCATTCTTTTCAGAGCTTTCTGGACTTCAACCTTACTCATCTTTCCCACTTCATGGGCCACAGTTTCTATGAGCTCTACTCTTCTTTCTCTTTTTTTCTCTTCAATCATTAGCTCCTCAAAGTACTCCTTCCATTTTCCTGTCACACTCTCCTCACTTGTTAGAACATTATCATTCCTATCTTTAATAAGCCTAACCTGCTGCACATCCTTTCCAGCCTGATTCCTCTGTCTTGCCAATTGGTACAAGTCCTTTTCGCCCTCTTCAGTGTCCAGCCTCCCATACAACTCATCATGTCTTCTGCTTTGCCTTAGCCACCTCCTTCTTTGCTTTGCGTCCCATCTCCTTATATTCCTGTCTCCTCTCTTCAGTCCTCTCACTGTCATATTTCTTCTTGGCTCACCTCTTTCTTTGAACAGCTTCCTGCACTTCACTATTCCACCACCAGGTTTCCTTATCATCTATTTTCTGTCCAAATGACACACCAATTACCTTCCTACCTGTCTCTCTAATTACTTTTGCTATAGTAACCCAGTTATTTGGAAGCACTTTCTTACCACCCAGACCTTTTAACAGCTTCTCTCTGAATTTCTCACAACATTCTTCCTTCTTCATCTTCCACCATTTGGTCCTCTTCTCTGATTTTACTATTTTTCTCTTCTTCACAACAACAGTCATTCTACACACAACCATCTGATGCTGTCTGGCCACGCTCTCCCCTGCCACAACCTTATAGTCTCCAATCTCCCTCAGGTTTCCTCTTCTATACAGAATGTAGTCGACCTGTGTACTCCTTCCTCCACTCTTCTCTCACTCATCTGTCCTTCCTTTCCTGGTTTCTTTCTTTGACACCAAACCTACCCATCACTTCCTCATCCCTTCTGTTTCCTTCACCAATATGTCCATTCTGGCAGGTCTGTTCCGATCACCACTCTTTCCTCCCTGGGCATACTCTATCACTTCATCCAGATCCTTCCAAAATATATCTTTCTCCTCCCCATCACATCCAACATGTGGCGCACCACTGCCAATGTTTAGCATCAGACCTTTTACTTCTACCTTCAAACTCATCAACCTTTCTGACACTCTTTTCACCTCTACTACATTTTTTGCCAACTCCTCCTTCAGGTTCACCCCTACTCCGTTTCTCTTCCTATCCACACCATGGTAAAACAGCTTGAACCCTGCTCCAATGTTGCAAGCCTTGCTGCCCTTCCACTTGGTCTCTTGGACACATAAAACATCTACAGTACCTTCCTTCTCTGCATCATGTCAGCCAGCTCTCTACCTTTGCCTGTCATTGTCCCCACATTTAGAGTTGCAACCCTCAGTCCTACATTCTAGGCTTTCCTCTTCTCCCTCTGTCTCCTGACACGTTTCCCTCCTCATGGTCTTCGACTAACAGTAGCACAATTTCCGCCGGCACCCTGTGTGTCAACAGCATCGGTGGCGGTCGTTAACACGGGCCTCAACCGATCCAGTACGGTTTCACTTTGATGAACTCACATTATGGTCAAAAAGTGTCAAGATGAATATATTCTTCCAAACATTTATTGTTATTATTTCGTATTTGTATTTAAAGATAGGTATTTAATTGTGTGTGTGTGTGTGTGTGTGTGTGTGCGTGCGTGCGTGCGTGCGTGCGTGTGTGTGTGTGTTTTCAGCTACTGGGGCTCTGGAGAACCCAATGATAATTTTGGTCTCGGTAAAGAAGAATGTGTAGAGACAAGGTTTCATGAACAAGAAAAAAGCTGGAATGATACACCATGCCATCGTCGTGACTTTTGGATCTGCGAGAAAAATGTTTCTCTCTTCATCAAACAAAACTCCAGAAACCCCACTTTGTGTCTGTGAAATGTTGGATTTTGTCAGACAGATAAATGTGGGATTATAACATTGATGTAAATTGTTCTGTTTTTCTATTGTTGGTATTCAATTTCAAATCACATTTCTCATGACAAAAAATATTTAAAAATATGACAGGAGTCACACAAAAAAACTCCATTGTTAAATATATGGAATATGTATTTATATACATATTAATATCTCTAAGATCCATCCATTATCTTTACCCACTGCTTCCATTTTTGGGTCACGGGTGTCGCGAGTGCCCATGTCCAGCAGTCACTGTGTGAGGGGTGAGGTACACTCTGGACAAATTTCAAGTCCATCACAGTACCACATAGAGACAAACGAGACAAACGAACATTCACTCAGTCGCTCACACCTAGGGGCAATTTAGAGTTACCAATCAGCCTAACATGCATGTTTTTGGTCTGTGGGAGGAAACCAGAGTATCCGGAGAAAACCCTCACATGCACGAGAGAACATGCAAACTCTACCCAGAATGGCCCCTGGAAGCGGATTTGAGCCGGGTAACCTGCTCGCTGAGAGGCAGCAGCTCTACCAGTTGCGCCACCGTGCTGCCCTATAGTTCTAACAATTGAGGGTTTTTTGTACCTCTATCAGTTTACATAAAAAAACAAAATGTGCCAGAAAATAAAGTTTCTACACATGCATCTATTCCAGAAATCTCTAGGCCTCAAAGATGACAAGCCTTTTTCTTCATGTGACTTAAAAACATACTTGTGGACTTTGAGAATCACAGTAAAAAGAAACGAAAATACCTCGTCACAAAGCATTTGGGAGATTTGATCTTGTACCTAAGAATTTTTACACACCTTCAATACATACATGACAGAAATGCTCTATTCATCTTATTTTGTTATTTCTTACACTTTGCTGGTATGTATTAAATATTCTGCAAATAAATAAGTTTAAGAGGCTTCTTGTTATGGTTTTTCATTGTCTTCTGAGATTACTTCTTTTGTGACTTGGAGCTATATAAATATACTGAATTGAATGTGCTCATTACTTTTTTTAATTTTTTACTATTTTGCGAAGTTCAGTGTACTTACTAGTGGATCAATTATTAATTTTGAAAAAAATGTTTTACTTCATAAAATTGAAAACTCGTATGTGATACTCGTTTATACCACTAGGGAGCAGTAACATGTAGGAGTCACCACCGGATGTCCATGTAATACTTCAAGTCACCACCAGGGGGAGGTAACCAATCCTGATCCACTTCCGCAAACAATGAACGAGCTACCGTCCAATCAAACAGGACCTCAGTTTTAAATGTGAACTGCTATTTCCTTCCTCGTTAAACTACAACAATACTGACACAAAATGTTCGGACCAGTATTTTGATTCAGGATTTTAAAATACTCTTTTTAAAAAACTTTTTATTAGTTATTCTGCACATTTTGTTCTCCGTCTGCCTTGTTTCATGGGAACCCAGGAGGGAGAAAGAAGTAAGTCAACTCGTCCGAGTGAAAGCTAACGACACGTATCTGACCTACAGCTAAAGTTTCTTGCTCGGTTTCGTTCTTCCGTGGCTTTTACTGAACCAGATACGTGCACCTTCATAATGTGTATACATTAGTTGTTTGATGTTTGTAGGCCTTTTATTTACCCGTCTCTGTTAATGTTCCTGTTAGCAAACATTAGCAACGTTAGCTCGCTTCTTTCGAGGTAACTGAACCGATAAAAAGTTTCAGCAAAACATTGGTGTGGCTCTTGGGTTTAAACCAGCCAAATGTCTGCTTCTGTTTAACTATCTCGAATTTATGGACAGAGATATGTTTTAGGACCAATAAATGCCACCAACTACAACTAAACTGAGACACTGAAACAGCAGTAAAGTGTCGGTGACATAAAACTGACGTTTCCCTGTCGTTTAATAATAATAACTGATTCCCTTCACGTGCCACATTCATTTATTTTAAAGTTTAAATTAAACGAGCAATCATGCTACATAAATGTGTCAGCTATTAGATATATTACAGAAACTGAAGCTTCACGATATAGTTTGAAGCAATTGTTCTGATTCTCCATTAAAGAGTTTCATAAACATGATTTAGCTGATTTGTTGTTCCTCCACAGATTGGGTTGATGTGGCCAATGATCTACTCAGCAGGTGTCACATAAATTTGAGGCTGAGGAAACTGGCAGACAGTAATGCAGATGTTTTCATTGCTTTGTATGAAAACATCTTAGGAGAGAAGGTTCCAGGTAAGAACAAGAACTCCTCTGTGGTCCAGCATGACTAGGTGATAAATGGCTAGTGTGTTTGCATATGTGCCTGGCTGTACAAGTGTGTACCCTGCCTTTCTCTTCAGGACTACTGGAAAAAGAAGTCAAATAATAACCATTCAGAGAAAATAGACAGAAGTATCTGACTGACTAGCTAATTAGTTAGTGCCAAATACACTTCAGCTTCTTAATGCTGATAATTTGCTTTTAATTTGTGTTAGATATGAATGAAGCCCAATATGCAAAGAAAATACATTTGAGAGTAATTTGTTGTCTTAAATTAAATTTCTAATCATTGGCTACCAACACTGAAAGGTAACAAGCAGCAAGCCTTTAGCTGAGCTTATAAGTGCCAAAGTGTTTTTAGTATGTCAGGAATGCTTCTCAAGAACAAACATGCTACTGAGAAACCTGTTTTTCTTTTTAGTTTTTATTTTAGTGCTGTTCAACTGGTGGCCCAGTGGCCAACTCAGGCCCACTAGTGAGCTCAGTTCGGCCCACCGATGGGTTCATTTTTAAATAAAACTAAATTAAAAACTTAAAACAAACTTACTTAATGACAATAATTGCTGGATGTCTGGCCCCTGAGTCTTGGCTGTCAGTAATTTTGGCCCCCTTAGCAATGTAGTTGAATAACGTTGCTTTATTTCAAGAAAAAGTTCAATTAAATGTGAGATGTTCTTATAAGTTTATCTTCTGGTGTTTTACTGGTTCACTGATCTCAATTTCAAAAGCTTTGTCTACATTTATGTGTTGTTTTTTTGTTTGTTTGTTTTTAGATTATATTGCAGCACCACGCAGTCAAGAGGACGATGTTCATAATGTTCAGTCTGTGATTGATTCCCTGTCTTTGGATTACCTCCAGATCAGCCTCTCACACATTACAGGTAGAGAAATACCTTTAATTTCTAACAGTAGTGGGTTTATTTATTTTAGTAAAATTTGAATATCTGCTTTTCTTTCTCTTGGGATAAGTTATTTATCTCCTGAGTGAGTATGTAGAAATACAAGAAGTACATTTTAAAGAAGTATAATTCAAAGCATGACTATTTGCAGGCGAAAATGTTGTTAGGGGAGATAAAGAGTCTATCAAGAACCTTCTGGAAATTTTTGATGGCCTCTTGGAATACCTCAATGAGGAGATAAACGAGGACTCGCAAAACAGCGGTAAGCAGAATTTCTGTCAACCAATAACACATTTGAACATTTATAAAGACATTTTGTCTTCATCAGTCACACTAAATCTTCATAACAGTTTTACATTATGATTTATAACAAAAAAAATAATTTTTATCTTTATTATCCCTGAAACCACATGATTATAAACAGCTGTTTGAATCTCTTCCTCTGAGTCAGATGTGTTCTTGTTTTCAGATGAATTAAGTGACCCTCTGAATCAGGATGAACCTGTTAAAACCACAGATGTTGTTGCCACAAAGCAGACGGAAGCAAACTTGCCAGGAACATCTGGATCACCCAGTGTAGAGTAAGAACTCCTCTATACTCCAGACACATTAAGAAATGGAAAATTACTTTATGAAACATAGATCTTTGTTGGTGTTATTGCAAAACGTCTCCCGTTTGTGATCAACTATGGGGTCTTATGGCCCACAGCAGGAGTTTCATACAGCTAAACCACGTGCTTGTAAAATTAAACCCTTTAAAGGAATCTTAAAATGCTTTTTGACAGTGATTGTGGCAGAATATTCTCAAATTGCAAAATAAAATGAAGGAGAAATGCACTTTTATTTACCTAATGGGCTTTTCTTGGCTCTAAGCACAGCTGACTTTCAGGTTTGCAGCACATGACTCTGATGCACACCTGAGTTGAAGTGTGGGTCTGGGTGTCAGTCACGTTGACACAACAACCTGCTCACATCCTGGCAGCAGTGTAAACACTAAAGGCTAACAAAGTGCACTAAAAAAATTCAAGCCAGTTCAGATTTCCCTGAGTTTTAGATTCAGAGTTGGTGTTAAAATGGGATAAGTCAAATTTTTTCAGATTAAATTACACAATGCAAACTAAAATGTCAAAGACTGATTAGGTTTTTTTTTTTTTTTTTGGGGGGGGGGGGGGGTTGAATATAATAAAAAACTAATTTTAGTTAAAATTTACAACCTTGTGTTTTCGTGGACCCCCCAAAAAGGTACAACTTTGTTATGTAGAGTTTTCTTGGTTGTGTGTTTTGAGTTAAATCCTCGAAACAAATGTTTAACCATTAAAAATAACTTGCACTATATGTGTTTGTTTTGGAAATACTAATCAGTATTTTAATGGCAACATGTAAATAACATGATGTGGCACTTAATAAAAGTGAAGAGATGAATTATAAGGTCAAGCTGTAGACCTGGTGAATCAGTTCTGCTACAGGTAAGATTTAAACAGTTTGTGTGTATTGAATGGAGATGGCTTTGTTTTGAGGAGACTGTCCTGATACCAGCTTAGCTAAAGTAAAAAAAAAAAAAATCTGTAATTTGTGCTGCAGCTGTTCTTACCTTTCCCTTCATCGGTGTGCAGCAACTTTCTATTTAAACAACAATATAATAATGGAAGGTCTTCTATAAATACAGAGCAACTCGATACACTTGTATTATGAATACCTAATAACGTGTGAACCTGTGATACATTGTGTTTTTCTCTTGTCTTTTAGATCTTCAGTCCAATCCAATAAACATTCTCTCCATTCCTTGAATGCTGAGGAGGTCGGATCATCCAGTGAGCTGATGGGGCAGAGAGTTTCTGCGCTCACGCTTACAGACGAAGGTAGAACTGCGTCTGTGCTGCTCATAATGACGGTGCTTTGACAAAATGGCAGTGATTCTAATACAGGGTTCTTCTTCGGTCCTGCTTTGTTTTTCAACTGAAACATTTTAGGGCTGATGTGTAGTTTTATTGGAAATCCATGAGCAAATTTCAAACAAGAAAAGTTGTTGTAGACTGAATGTTCACATGACAAAGGACTTACTGTGTGTGTTGTCATGTGCCCTGATAATGACTGAACTTTATTTAGTCTTATCCAGAATTGATTATCTCTTCTCAAACATCAGATGAAGTCAGCCCCTCCGGTTGTTTGGACAGCAAGGATGATCCACAGATGAACACAGCCATCCCACTACAGCCACCCAACCAGTGCGACGCCCCCCCCAGTCCTGGCCCGTCACCTGCCAACCATCTTCCCACGACTGCTGGCTTCAGTGAAAGACGTGGAGAGGAGAGCACCACTCCTGTCCCAACACAGGTGGACCAAGCTATTAAAACAAATTTGAGTTTAACTTTATTGAACGTAGTATAATAAAAGAATAAACAAAGTTATATAAAATGAAAATAAATTTAAACCAAAAGCAAGCAGAAAAAACAACAACAACAGTAGTAAAGTATATTTACATGGTCAAAGGAGTGGGTAGAAGTATAAACTTATTGTTACACCCACCACTCTTACATCTATAGAATCATCCAATAATTTACTGTTCATGGTAACTTGGTTATAACATTCTTGTTTTTAGTATTTTATATATCCATATCTATAACTGGTACAATGCATTCATATTTGCATGCCATTATGATCAAGCATCAATATTTTTTAACATGTTAAAATTCTTTCTACATCAATATACCATAATGCAGTAATAATTGATAAATTCATTGTTAACAACATTGATAATAGCAGTAGTAACAGTCATTATTTCCCACATTGATGACCATGTTCTTAAACAACGTTTTAAACTGTTTTATGTTTGGACATTGCTTGATTTCCATGCTTAAACCAGAGGAACTAGTTTTTTTATGTTTCACTAACAACTAAAACACATTTCCTGTTAGAGTTTTGTTGGATAAAAAGTGATGCATACTTAGTTTCTCTTCTGTGTACACACACTTCCTTTTTTAGGTAATTCCAGTACAGGAAGGATAATTCATGCTGACGCAACCTCAGTAATTTCAAGAAAGAAGAATTTTGTTAGAGGTTAAAGTAAAGAGTGCAGTTAAAAAGCTGCACTTGTTTCTAACATGTCGTGTCTGTCGTCTCTTCATAAGGAAATGACTGACAGCAGGAAGTGCCACATTTACACAGAATTATTGTGACATGACCTCCACAAACAGGTCCTGATACGCATCTGATCTTTATTATGTGATGCACAGCCAGTCTTATGGTTCAAATCTATGATTGATGGAACACAAAATAACTTTTTTGTTACTTATTTCTACTTTTACCTTCATAAAAGCCAAAATGTTAACTTTTCAGAGAGTTTTTGAGCTAGATTATATAAAAGGTTATACTTACTGATTCGTCTATGGTCCAACCTTCACCTTTGGTCATGAAGGATTATGGCAAAAAGAACAATATACTGGATACAAGTGGCTAAATTGAGCTTATCATGACACTTTATTTATAAAACACTTAGGAACGCAGCAACAAGGCCGACCAAAGGACTGTACAATGAAACTAACAAGGACAGTGGATTAAATATAATCTACAGAAGTTAAACTAAGAAACAAAACAAATAGAAAAATAAGTAAAAGCACACTGAGGACAAAGTTTTCTGACACTGGGTTGAAGGCCAGACAGTACAGGTGTTTTTAAATGAGATTTTAAAACGGCAAGTGGGGGAGCCTGCCTAATGTGCAGCAGCAAACCATTACAGGGTTTTGCACCTGCAACAAGAAAAGCTCAGTGTGCATCGTGTCCTTAGAACCAATAAAGACGAAGCAGGGATCTGCGGTGCATGTGGCTGCAGCAGTTTGGAGGATAAGAGGCAGCAGAACTGTTCAGCAGAACTTCTAAATGAATCTTTGACGTGAACTGGAAGCCAGAACTGAAGAACTGAGTTATATTTTGCATGTACCAGTTAAAAATTGAGCTGCGGTATTTTGAACCAGTTGAAAACGAGCAACAGAAGCCTGACTTAAAAAGAAACACATTGCAGTAATCAAGATGATATAAAAACGTGTTACTCTCGGGATTTTTGTTTTTACGACAGGATGGGCTTCATTTTAGACGGTCGCCTCAACCGACAGATCAGGATTTGCGATTTCATGACTGTTCAGTTTTAGGGAAGGATTAATTTATTTATTTAGTGATAATGGTTTTCTCATAAAGAGCCAGGGAGGAAAGGTCAATGCAGGGCTGGTGCCATTGTGTAAACATAACTTCTGTCCACTTGTCATCCAAATTCAGGAAGTTTATTATCGTCCAAGCTTCCTCCGTAGCGTGACCAGGCTTAGCCTTAGAGATGGGGAGAGGAGCTTTGTTGTGGTGTAGAGCCGCTGCTCCTCTGTATCAACAGCCGTCAGCTGACACGGTTCACGCCTCTGATTAGGATGTCTCTTGGACGCCTCCCTCTGTAGGTTTCTTAGGCACGTACCACTGGGAAGGGACCCAGAACTAGCTGGAGGGATTATATTTCTTTGTTGGCCTGGGGACACTTTGGGGAGTGTCACTGGGAAAGATGGAGGTCTGGGTTCCCACCTTGGTTTTGTTGCCTCAGCAACTCAACTACGAACAAGCGGAATAAAATGGATGGATACTTAAACCATCTTTCTTTACGTTTAGTTTTATGTTAAGTTCTTGCTGTTTTTCTTCATGCGTCTACTTTTTTTTTTCCCCACAGAGCTCTAATCTGGTATCTAAGACTCTCACTAATGGAATATCATCTCCTGCATCTCATTCATCACCTGGTGAGTGTAAATATATTCTGCATGCCAGTGAGTTGTGTACAACATGTCAGGTTATTGGAGTACAGTAGTCCTTCGTTTATAACAGGATCTGTACCCTGAAGACCTGCGATAAGTGGAAAACCGCAAAGTAGGAATGGTAGTACAAGTAGTAAATACGGTAGTAGTTTATTTGAGTGTGTGTGTGTGTGTGTGTGTATAT